CCCCAAAACCCCAAAACCCCAAAACCCCAAAACCCCAAAACCCCAAAACCCCAAAACCCCTGGGCTATTAAAACTATTTGAGAAAGCACAATCAAAGTTAATATATAATTAATTAAAAATGGGCAAAATGCAAAACACCAAAATAATTATCGTATTGATGCTAATTTTGTTTGGTCTCTCTTCCGCCTTAAGAATAGGAAGTAGACAGGAAGGAGATACTGGGGTAGACAATCCAGCACAACCAGCTACCTCACCTACTGATGAGAATGCTGATACCAGCGCCACAGAAACTCAAGAGGAAGACAATTTCTTCTCATCTATTGAGTCAAGGACCTTCTATGAAACTCATGTTTCATCTCTTAGACAAACCATTGCTAATAACAATGACGAATACTTCCAAGCAACTGTAACCCGGACATCTGCAGACGATTCTGAGGAGTCTGAAAGAAATGATCTTCAAGGAGCTCCCACCAATATTGCTGACAAAGTTTGGGAAGAATATAGAAGAGCAAGAGGCAGATTCGACTTTAGCTCTGCTCACATTTATGTCTTCAGAGAGTCCTTCTGGATTATCCTCGATGCAGAGAACGGAGATGTCACAGTTGAGAGATCTGACCTTAGAAGCTTCTTAGGATCTGACAGAAAATATGATGATGTTCTCGATGACTTGTTCAACCACAGAGGTAATTCATTCAGTATTGCTGATGCTACTTTCATCTACTATCTTGATCAACAGAGAGAAAATGTTCAGAGTAGAGAGTACAATGTTGCTATCTCTACATCTAATGGTAACTATCAAGTTCAAGCTCTTCCATTTGAATTAAGAAGTATCTTGATTAAAAGGCCCCAAAATATGGACTTACACGGAGAATGGTATTCCTTCCAATTTGCTTTGGATCTTGATAATACCAACTTCCTAACTGCTCGTACTGAAGGTTTGTCAGGGCTCGTTCCAATCTCCTGAGAAATTTGGGGTGATGAGATCGGAGATCTTGATATTGACCATCCAGAGTTAAGATTTGATATATCCCCAGTTGGAGACCAAATCAATGTAGACTTGCTTATCAGTCTTTTGGACCAAGAAAATGCTATTGATCACAGAATCTCACCTCAGCTTGGAGAAGACGACTCTGCACCATTTGATACTACAGTTAACATTGCCGCACCAAAAGGTTTGGATACTTTTAATCATTTACCTGTTACAAGCGCATTCTTTAACATCTCTGGAAGTGATTTAGTTGTTCTTTCCATGGACCCTGCTTGCCCAGACTTCGCATTCCTTCCATTGGAGATGATGACCTCTGCTAACTCCTGTGAGATTATTTATGTCTCGTCCAATAACGTTAATATTGAAATCCAAGGTCAGGTCTTAATGAACGGAGAATATTTTATGAGTTTATTCAGAAAGGATAGTGAACAGAATGTCTACAACATCACTCTCTTTGGTCAAGAGGGAACCTCTATGACTTTTGCTGACATCAAGACTTTCCTTTTCTCTACTATGGAAGTTAGATACGAGTCTACTGTGCTGACAACTGATTCTGAATCACTTGCCAGATTCGCTGAATTTGGAATTGATGAAGACAACACCTTGATTGAGAACCCAGTTATTGATATCTCCTATGAAACTTACCTCATGTACTCTGTAAGAGGAAGATACGCCTTTGGAGACAGTCTCAGAAACAGAATTGCATTCTTTGGAGACTTCATCAACTTGGATGGAGCTGTTCTTTCTTACGCTAGATTCTTCTTTAACCCATCTGTCTCCTCCAGAACCTTCTCTGAGTTCTTTAACATTAGAGGAAACCAAGATGCTGGATTCAGAAGCTTCAGAATTCTTGACTTTGAGCTTATCAGTGTAAACAGAGACTTTGATATTGATTCTATCACTCAAATGAGACACTCTAATTTGATGATTTATACAGATATGGACATACTGACCAGAAACGGCCTTTCCATTGTTCTAGAAACAGACCTTGATTATAACTGTGACAACAATGACTTCTGTAGGATGCTGAAAGGATTTGGAGTTCCATCTGCATTGAACTTCACTGGAGTAATCGGAGAGCAAGAGACTATTCTATCCACTGATTTCGCCAACTTCACTCTTAATGATGTAGTTAACTATGAACATAACTCCTTCAGCATTAGGATTTCACCAGCTGGAGATGAAGGAAGCTCAGCTAATCTTCTCTTTGATGGTGAACTTCTCGGGCAATTTGAACCAAACGGCAGATCTGTGAGATTTGATACTAGATGGACATTCCCAAACACCCCAACAGGACTTGTTGGCTTGTCTGGTACTAAGACAAGCATCTACGATAATATATTCAATTTGGAAATCTTCGATATTCTTGAGGGAGTCATTGATGGAACTATTGATCCAAATACCAACGTCGTCAACTTTGATTACAGATCAACCTCTATTGTTGGCAGAGATTGCTACACTCATCCAGAATACATTAACTGGGTAATTGATGACGACAACTCCCCAGAAAGTTCGATCTATAACTATGATAATGAGGATGTTAACGAAGATGGAACTCTTGACGTCATCTCTGATTCTTGTATTGTTGGAAACTCTGACCTCAGAATCTTCAGCAACGATTACTCTCATAACAGATTTGATGCTCAGTTTTATTTCGAAGGATATGAAGATTTCATCAGAACTGTCTTCAACACTCAGCCAGAAGATCATGTCTCTATCCTCGTTGATCACTTTGAATTCCCAAGAGGACTTACTACCAATAATGTTTACAGAGAAGTGAACGATCAAGAATATGTTGAATTCTTTGGAATGGGTCAATTGCTAGGAATCACTGGTTACGATGTTGTCAGAGCTTACACAGATGAAGAGAGAGTAACCTCATCTTTCTACTTCCCATCATTTACTCTTGGAGGAGCAAACCTTGAAATTATCTCTGATGCTGATATTAAGCTGCACTATCCAACTAATGATGGCAGATACTGTAGAGGAAGACTAGACTGTCGTGACTCTAATGGAAACCACGTTGGAGATCAAGGAATCTTCGAACAAAACAATACTATGATGCTTGAGTTCGATACCCAAAACATGATTGCTACCGATATCCATTTCTCTGCTAATATGGTTATCTTTGAAATTCTCCAAAGAGTCGAATACAGTCTGAGCCAAGAAAGATGGGACTTTGTATTCAATGGTAAACCATGGAGAGGAGCTTTTGATGCTGAGGTAGTTGTCGAAGTAGTCCCTGTTCCAAATATGCCAGCTGAAGATAATTCTGTAGTCAGAGTTGTCTTAGATCAGACTGATAACTTCTTCAGACTCCAGACTTTAGTCAACGAAGAAATGAAAAGATGGGCATCAAATTTGATCTTCTCAAGATTGACTACTGAAGAAAGAAGATCCACTTTAAGTCATATGAGAGAAACTCTTGTTCTTTACCAGAATCAATATGTTGATTGTGTTGAGACTGAGCAATGCCAAAACCTTCCTCAGATCAGATGTACAGAATACGCTAAGAATGCAGTCTGTGTTGAAGAAGCCCAAGTCTGTGCTCAAGTGACTCAGAGCTGTATCGCCAGAGAAACTCACACTTATGATTGGGGAACCTTCGAAGTTTGTACTGAATTCGGAACTGTCTGTGAAGATGGAGATGAAGGAACGAACACTGTCTGCTTAGACTATGATCTCCAAGATGTTCCTGATGAATGTGTTGCAATGGAGCTATCCTGCACCAGAGTGATGATGCCAGATGAGAACTGTGTTGAGACATACCAAAGATTGCAAGAACAAATTGATATGATTGATACAAGACTTACTCAACTTATTGAGCTTGAGTCATTACTCCAACCTCTTCAAGATAGTGCTGCCTGCATGATCAGACTTAACAATGACCAAAGAGAAGAGTACCCAGATTGCACACACAGAGATGATACTTATGAAGGAGTCCCAGAGGAGTACGACCTTCTCCAATTCTTCTCAATAAGAGATACTAGATCCATCATGAGCCTTAGAAGTGTAGTTTCTTCAGACTCTATGATCTTTGAATCTGATGTAAGCCTGTATGGAGATTGGATCAGAGGACAGACAGGTAGAGACAGATCAATCATCAGAAACAGTCTCGATGACACTAGAGAAGATGAAGAAAGAGGATATGATATTGGAGTTGAATCCTTGCTCTATATTAACCACCCAATTGATTTCAACAGCATCAACAGAACTTCTGAGAACATTGCTGAATCAATTAAGCAAGTAGTTTGTAGAGAGAACAACTTGCAAGGAGAAAGATCTTCAAGAGTACAAGTACTTTTAAGAGACCACGGAATGCTTGAAGGAAACAGAACTATCTGCCCAGATCTCGAAACACTTAACAATGATAGATATCAAAACGCTGATCAGGATTTAAGAGTTGACCAAGCTAGCATTTATGCTTCTTCAACCAGCAGCAATGAATATGTCAGCTCCACATTTGAATCAGATGATGAAGCTACTCTCAGATTTAGATACTCTCCATCACAACAAGTCATTGAGGTAAGATAAAACTTAAAGACTTTTCTAATATTTCATAGGCTTCTAGAGTAAGAGAATCTTACGATGAAAGAGAACAATATGGCCCAGCCGATGTCTTGCCAAACTCAGTAATCGATAGAGTTGATGATGAAACAGTTGCTGAGACTGAAGCCTTACATTATACCCAGGAAGATAGAATCGCTGAAGAAGAATTAGAGCAAGAATATGTTGATGAAATTCAACAAGAATGGACTGATGAGGCTAACCACTATGAACAAAATCAAGGAGATCTAGATAATGTTGTTGAAGAAGATCATAATGATATCGAACAAAACCTTGAGAATGAAGCTGAAGAACAAAGAAGAGAAGAGGAGGAGCAAGAGGAAATAGAAGCTCAAGCTCAAGAACAAGCCGAACAAGAGGCTGAAGAGCAAGAACAAGCTGAACAAGAAGCTGAAGAGCAAGCTGTTCAAGCTGAACAAGAAGCTGAAGAACAAGCTGAGCAAGATGCTGAAGAACAAGAGCAAACTGAACAAGAAGCTGAAGAGCAAGCTGAACAAGATGCCCAAGACCAAGCAGAACAAGAAGCTGAAAACCAGAGAAGACAAGAAGAGCTTGCACAGCTCCAACAAGAGGCTGAGGAAGCTATTTCTAATGCACAAGGACAGATTGATGAGTCTAATGATGAGATAGATGAAATCAATGATCAAATTGAAGACATCAGAGATGAGATTCAGACAGCTGCAGACTTAAACGAAGAAGCTGAAACTCTTGAAGATGGATCTAATGGTGCACAAAACGCCGAAACTGAATAAATAGTTAATCTATTAAATTAAGTAATTTAATTACTTCAACTGGGTGTACAACCCGTGGGGTTTTGGGGTTTTGGGGTTTTGGGGTTTTGGGGTTTTGGGGTTTTGGGG